TGCTGTTTGTCATTTTTATAAATGACCTGGATGAGGGCGTAGAAGGATGGGTTAGTAAATTTGCGGATGACACCAAAGTCGGTGGAGTTGTGGATAGTGCGGAAGGATGTTGCAGGTTACAGAGGGACATAGATAAGCTGCAGAGCTGGGCTGAGAGGTGGCAAATGGAGTTTAATGCGGAAAAGTGTGAGGTGATTCACTTTGGAAGGAGTAACAGGAATACAGAGTACTGGGCTAATCGTAAGATTCTTGGTAGTGTGGATGAGCAGAAAGATCTCGGTGTCCATGTGCATAGATCACTGAAAGTTGCCACCCAGGTTGATAGCGTTGTTAAGAAGGCGTACAGTATGCTAGGTTTTATTGGTAGAGGGATTGAGTTTCGGAGCCATGAGGTCATGTTGCAGCTGTACAAAACTCTGGTGCGGCCGCACTTGGAGTATTGCGTACAGTTCTGGTCACCGCATTATAGGAAGGATGTGGAAGCATTGGAAAGGGTGCAGAGGAGATTTACCAGGATGTTGCCTGGTATGGAGGGAAGGTCTTATGAGGAAAGGCTGAGGGTTTTGAGGCTGTTTTCGTTAGAGAGAAGAAGGTTAAGAGGTGACTTGATAGAGACATACAAGATGATCAGAGGATTAGATAGGGTGGACAGTGGGAGCCTTTTTCCTCGGATGGTGATGGCTAGCACGAGGGGACATAGCTTTAAATTGAGGGGTGATAGATATAGGACAGATGTGAGAGGTAGGTTCTTTATTCAGAGAGTGGTAAGGGCGTGGAATGCCCTGCCTGCAAAAATAGTAGACTCGCCCACTTTAAGGGCATTTAAATGGTCATTGGATAAACATATGGATGATAATGGAATAGTTTAGGTTAGATGGGCTTCAGATTGGTTTCACAGGTCGGCGCAACATCGAGGGCCGAAGGGCCTGTACTGCGCTGTAATGTTCTATGTTCTATGTTCTATGAATTTCATAAGACCATAAGACATAGGAAAAGAAATTAGGCCATTCAGCCAGAGTCTGCTCCACTGTTCAATCATGGCTGGTATGTTTCTCAACCCCATTCTCCCGCTTTCTCCACATAACCCTTGATCATCAAGAACCTATCTATCTCCATCTTATATATACTCAATGACCTGGTCTCCACAGCCTTCTGTGGCAGTGAATTCCATAGATTCACTACTCTCTGGCTGAAGAAGTTTCTCCTTATCTCCAATCTAACAGGTCTTCCCTTTACTCTAAGGCTATGCCCTTGGGTCCTAGTGTCGCCTACCAATGGAAACATCTTCCTAACATCCACTCTGTCCAGGCCATTCAGTATTCTGTAAGTTTCAATTAGATCCCCCCTCATCCTTCTAAACGCCAGAGTATAGACCCAGAGTCCTCATATGTTAAGCTTTTCATTCCCGAGACCATTCTCGTGAGCCTCCTCTGAACCCACTCCAGGGCCAGTTCATCCTTCCTGAGATATGGGGCCCAAAACTGTGCACAATACTTCAAACGTGGCCTGACCAGAGCCTTGTATGTACATCCCTGCTTTTATATTCAAGTCCTCTCAAAATAAATGCCAAAGTTGCATTAGCCTTCCTAATTACTGACACAACCTGCAAGTTTACCTTGAGAGAATCGTGGACTAAAACTCCCAAGTCTCTTTGCACTTCAGACTTCGGAATTTTCTCCCCATTTAGAAAAATAGTCCTTGCTTCTATTCTTCTTATCAAAGAGCATGACGTCACACTTTCCCACATTGTACTTCTTCTGCCACTGCTTTGCCCAATCTCCTAACCTGTCCAAATCCTTCTGCAGCCTCCCTGCATTCTCAATATTACTTGCCCCTCTACCTATCTTTGTATCGTCTGCAAACTTAGCCAGAATACCCTCAGTTCCTTCTTCTAAATCATTAATGCATAAAGTGAAAAGTTGTGGTCCCAACCCTGACCCTTGCAGAACACCACTTGTCACCGGCTGCCATCCTGAGAAAGAGCCTTTTAACTCCACTCTCTGCTTTCTGCCAGACAGCCAAGCTTATATCCATTCAGTACCATGGCTCTCCTTGGTCTAACCTGCTCATTACCCCCTCAAAAGCATTTGACCAGATTGGTCAGGCATGACCTCCCCTTGTTGAAGCCATGCTGACTTTAACCTACTTTATCGTGCACTTCCAAGTATTCAGAAATCTCATGCTTCACAATGGACTCCAAAATCTTACTCACGACTAAGGTTAGGCTAATCAGCCTGTAATTTTCTGTCTTTTGCCTTACTTCCTTTTTAAACAAGGATGTCACATTAGCGATTTTCCAGTCTTCTCCCGACTCGTGTTTCTTGAAAAATCACCACTAATGCCTCCACCATCTCTTCAGCTATCTCCTTCAGAACTCTGGGGTGTAGTCCATCTGGTCCAGGTGATTTATCCACCTTCGGGCCAATCAGTTTTACTAGCACCTTCTCCTTAGTGATGGTCACCATGCTCAGCTCAGTCCCCGACTCTCGAATTTTTGGGATATTACTTGTGTCTTCCACTGTGAAGGCTGACGCAAAGTGATTATTCAATTCCTCAGCCATTTCCAATGGTCCTATTTATCATTTTGCAAATATAATCAACTACAAAGCAAAATTAAATCTATTGTCTCTGTATTCCGTGCAGCAAGAAATCTTCATATGCTGCCTTTGTTTTTATAAACCTTTTGCCAAAAGCCTTTTTCAAATAATTGCTAAATGCAAATAGTAGCACACAAGTTCACGCTATTCTAAGACCCCATAGTAACTGAGTTATACATAGCATTGATGCAGGATTGACCACTGGTCAAAAATTGTAAATGGGGAAAGGGATTTTCAAAGGTTTTTGGTAGGATTTTGAATGAGTCAAAAACTAAGAATATCTTCCACAGATTTTGGATTTTCCAGAAGACATTGCATATCTCCCAAACTGACTGACAGATATAGCTTTTATGTTACACAAACGTAAAACAGAGCAAAAACATTGGTTAAACAAAATCTAGATTGAAAACTTCTCTTTAAAACACCCATTTTTGAACATTAAATGCTTCAGTTTTGCAAATCTCAACTATAGAACAGTCCTATTGTTTCTAAAATTTGAAAAGACATGCAGACTGAATACGTTAGGCAAGCAAAACTGCTTTTTGTTTTAAAAAGGAATAGAATATTCACCATCAAATATTATTATTTATCCAAAAAGGTGGTTTCTTACAGAGCTGTTCCTCTTCAATCCCCTGACTGGACTCTGGCTGATTTTCAGAAATACTGCCATGCTCCTCGGTTGATTTTTCTTTTGCCAACATTACCAAACAGAAGGGAGTTGTGTTGCTTAATCTAACAGTTTCTAGAATTTCACTCAGAGTGAGGCAGAAAAGATGCTTATGCTCTTCGTCTAAAAATCAACAGAAATGCAAGTGTTATTTGTAACAGGCATACCCAAACATTCAAAAGGATAACAATACATTGTCATCTTGAAGATTTCAGTGAATAAGCATGTCAGAAAATCTCAAATGACAGCGTTGACAGAATTTGCACCCTTGCCTCTATAGAAGGTTGTGGATTCAAGTTCAAATCCAGGATGAACAGGTCTGGTATGAACACAATGGTGTTTCCCCCAGGATAAAATAAGACTGGTTAATCTGTTTTATCAATTTCTATTGATGTCGTTGGAAGGATGAATATTGATCAGAACAGTAGGAGAAACATTGTCAACTAATCTTTGAATTGTGTCACAGAATCTTATTGTTCACCATCAAGGGCAGATTGAGGTTTTCATTTGCTGCCAAATACAACAAAAAACCAAAGTAGTACAGTTCAGAGTTCCACCCTCCTGCAGCATTGAAAATGCTTGCCAGCCTAGATTACATAGTGAACTTCCTGGAGTGGGGCCTGATCATGGATTTACAGGGAAGTATGCCATGGAATCATTGAGGCAGTGTACAAAGTACACAAAAATAAGAAGCCTTGTTGACAAAACAGACAGAATCGCAGACCTTCTATATTAACCCCAGGTTAAAGGTTGGAGTTGATTTATTTTCGATATCATTTTTCCTTATCAAATAAAAATGTTCAAATTTTAATTATCTTACTAAAGGCACTTATCTTGAATAATTTGGCATCAATAGATTCCCTAGCAGTTTGCTCACTTTAGGGCCACACATAGTTGTCGCCACTGTGCAAGACTAACACATGAAGGAGCCTTCCTGGCATTTTGGAGTCATGATACTTATTTTCATTTACAGCAGCTGCTCTAAATAATTGTGATTCTAGAACTATTCCCACAAATGATTAAAAACAAAAAGCAACAAACTGCTTCCAAGTCTCTTGACAATGTCAAAGCAGTTCATAAAGGTACACAAGGCAACTAGCAGAGGAGCAGGGTACAGACTTGCTAGAATCCAACTTTTGGACTGCCAGAAAAATACCAGTAAATTCAAATAAACATAGCAGCCCCAAGATAATTTGGTCTTTAAAAATAAGACAGATTGGACTGATTGTGTTTTATAAACAGTCTTGAAATGTAGGCATAACTAGAAAGCTGTCGTCTTGTGCACATTCATAGCTGCTTAACATTATGGCAACTGGCTGTGTTTTATACAACTTGGCAGCTTGTTTGCCACTTAAGAGGGCATTGAAAAGGTCAGTCATGTTGGTACGGGATTGGAGTCTCACATATCCCAGATGGATAGCTGCAGATTTCCTTCCCTGATAGAAAACCAGCTGGGTTTTAAAATAATTATGTTAGAAATGGTACTGGAATAGTTACATTGTGTATCAGCTGTCACTCAGTTCATAGTACAGTTATTTCTGCACCACAAAGTTCTGCTTTGAAGTTCTACATTAAGGCTTCAGCACAAATATCAAGGGTGACATTCCAACATAGTACTGACAGAGCATTACACCGTCAAAAGGTGTCATCTTTCAAATGAGATGTTTCAGAGGTAAAACAAAGAACTGTGGACGCTGAAGATATAAATTGCTGGTAGTATCTGTGGAAGAAAGCAGAGTGAATGTTTTGGGTGCAGTGATTCTTCATCAGAACTGTTAACAGCTAGGAACAAGTGGCATTTATGCTGAAGCTGAATTAGGGGGTGGGGTTGGGCAGGAGAGAGAGCAGGAACAAGGTGAGCCAACAGGTGAAGACAGAACCCAGGGAGACAGTGAGAGTGATCAAGACAGACAGAAACAAAAGGGGAACGTAAACAAGGAGATTATGGATAGCAGGCCAAGATAGAAGGGAAGCTGAATAATTGATAAGAAGAACTGAGAGTAGGACAGCTACTCTGCACTGAGTTATACTGAAAGTAGCCCATACAATGTGATAATAAGCCCACCAGTCGGTATGAAAGTCACAGTCATACAGCACAGAAACAGACCCTTTGATCCTACTCGTCTGTACTGACCAGGTATTGCAAACTGAACTAATCCTACTTGCCTGCATTTGGCCCATATCCCTCTAAACCCTACTATTCATTTTCTGACGAAGGGTCTAGGCCCAAAACGTCAGCCTTCCTGCTCCTATGATGCTGCTTGGCCTGCTGTGTTCATCCAGCTCTATACCTTGTTATCTCAGATTTTTCAGCATCTGCAGTTCCTACTATCTCTATTCATGTACCTATCCAGATGCCTTTTAAATGTTATAATTGTACCTGCCTCTACCTTCTATCCAACAGAGGAAGTGGGAACAGTGCTGAAAGTAACCTGCTTAAATACAGAATCAGGTGTAGGGTGTGTTAAAACATGGAAGGATGGATTCAGGCTCTAAAGTTATTCAACTCTACATTGAGCCCTATAGGCTACAAAGTCTAAGTGGAAAATGAAATGCTGATCTTCAATCTCGTGCTCAGGCGTGCTGGAACATTGCAGCAGGCCCGAGACAGAAATACTGATGTGGGGATAAGGTGGTGTGTTGAAGTGGCAGGCAACTGAAAGAACAGGGACATTTTTGCAGCAGAATGGCTCTGCAAAGCAGTCACCCAGCTGCTAACAGTTCTGCTGAAGAGTCACTGGACTTGAAATGTTAATTCTGCTTTCTTCCCACAGACCTGCTGAGTTTTGCCAGCAATTTCTCTCTTTGCTTACTGAGGTCCCTTCTGCAAGATACTGGATAGACATAAAAGATTCAATAGAGCTATGCCAAAGAAAGGGATGGGAGTTATTCCTGGCATCCTGACCAACATTTATCCCATGACCAACATCACAAAGATAATTGATGGCCTGGTCTTTATCACATTGTTTGTGGGAGTCTGCCAAGCACAAAATTAACTGCTGCAGCTCCTCCATCACAGCAGTGATTACATGCCCAAAAAAACACACTTAATTGTAAGTTTGAAAGCAAATCACCACTATCAGTGGATGTAAAAAGCACAATACAAATTAAAATCATTTTCTTTAATTTCTGGATTTTATGCCACAGTGAAAAATCAAACAGTTTTCTGGATTACCATCCAAACCTCTGCAGAATAGCTAGTAACAGAACCATTAATGTCATCTTCAATAGTCTATGAGCAACCCTACGGACTACATGTTTCTCTTTGGATCTACTTCAAGATTTGTCATTATTTTATGTTGCTCTCAAATGTACTTAAATGTTAAAGCAATTTTATGAAAATGAAACAGAAACAGAAATTGCTGGCAAAAACTTCAAGTCCGGCAGCATCTGTGCGAAGAAAGCAGAATTGATGTTTCAAGTCCAATAACTCTACATCAGAACTGACAGTACCTAGGTAAAGGTGGCATTTATGATGGTGGGTGGGGGAGAAGGAGGAGAAAGAACATAGCAGTGAGCACATAGCTGGAGATGGAATTGGAGATTCCCTTCTTTTTTGAAAGGGGTAAGCAAACCAAGGAAATATTGATAATAGACAATGACAGAAGAAAAGATGAAGAAGTGACAATGGCGCCGAGAATAGGACTGAATGGGCAGGCTGTACTGAAAGCAACCCATGGGATGCAATAATATGTCTCAGTGGGTTAGAATGGGTGTTGTGTTGTAGTAGCAGGCAACTGGAAATTCAGAGTCATTTGCATGGACAAAATCTACATATTCTGCAAATCAGTCGTACAGTAAGCATTTTATCTCCCCAGTGTAGAGGAAACCATACGGTCAACAGTGAATACTCTAGACTAGATTGAGTGTTTCACCTGGAAGGTTTGACTGGGCCTTGGATAGTGAGGGGGGATGAGGCGGGGGAGTAAACAGGCAAGTATTGCATCTTCTGTGATTACATAGGAAGGTGCCATGCGGGTCTAGGGATTGGAGGAGGAGTGAACGAAGGTGTCCCAGAGGGAATGGTCCCTGTGGAATGCTGACAAAGGAGGGGAAGGGAATATGTGATTGGTCTTAGCATCCTGTTGGAGGTGACAGAATTGGTGGCTTACAATCTTTTGGATGCGGAGGCTGATGAGGTGGCGAGTGAGGACCGGGGCCCCTATCTTTGTTGTGAGGGGGAAAATGGGTGAGGGCAGAAGTGCAGGAGATGGGTCAATCATGGCTAACGGCCCTGTCAACAATGGTAGCAGGGAATCCACAGCTGAGGAAAACTGTGGACATATCCGAGTCCCAGCCCCTTGCAGAAGGGGACATCAAAACAGATGCGACTGAGACAGAAACTGAGAGAATAAAATGGAGTCTTTACAGGAAGCAGGGTATGAGGATGCATAGTCCAGGTAGCTGTGGGAATCAGTGGGATTGTAATGGATATCGGTGACCAGACTATCCCCAGAAATGGCAAGAAAGGTAAGAGAGGAGTGAGAGATGGACCAGGTGGAGTTGAGGACAGGAGGCGGTGTCGGAGAGCAGGTGCTCCGCCTCGGCAATGCAGTCTGCCAGACAACAACAGCACCACCTTTGTCAGCATGCTTCATGAAAAAGTCAGGGTTGGATCTGAGAGCATGAAGTACAGTCAGTTCAGAGGGAGATAGATTTCAGGCAGCCAACTCCATGTTGCAAGTCTACAGTGAACAGGTCAAGTGCGGGTAAAGGCCAGGAGTGGGGAGATCCAGGTGGAAACAGTCTTGGTTGCAGGTGAAGGGATCTGTGGAATGGGGAGGGGACTCCTGTCCAGGGAACAGGCACGGAGACAGGAGGTGACAGATCGTGTTAAGCTACCATCCCGCTAACCTCTGCATTCAAAAGATCACAAGGCCCCATTTCCGCCGCATCCAGTGGGATGCCACGATCAGATACATATTCTCAACCCCTACTGTGTCAGCATTCTGCAAGCATCGCTCCCTCCAGGACACCGTGATCCACTCTTCTGCCATTCTCAACACTACCTCACATCCCCACAACCCGTCCCATGTAATCGCACAAGGCATAACACTTGCCCGCTTATTTCCTCCCTCCCTCAAGGTCCAAGGCCCCAAACACACCTTCCAGGTGAAGCAGTAATTTACTGCACTTCATTCAATCTAGTCTACCACATTTGCTCTTCACAGGATGGTCTCTGCTACACTGGGGAGACGAAACACAGAGTGGTGACTGCTTTGCAGAATACCTATGCTCCATCTGCAAAGACAGCCCCGAGATTCCAGTTGCCTGCCACTTCAACGCGCTGTTCCCATGTCAACATCTCTGTTGTAGGCCTCCTAGAGTTTTCCAATGAACCTTAGTGCAAGTCTGCTTGGGAACCCTGCAGTGTTTATAACTCAACATGGAGTTCAATAACTTTAGAGTCTGATTCCATCTTTCTTGGACAGTCAACCCTATTCTCACCCACTGTCAGGCCTATTATCACATGACCTGGGTGGCTGACAGCACAACCTGCTACTTTCTACTGTCAGCTCTTGTTATCACTCACTCAACTTCCTTTCTGTCCTGATTTACTATTAATAATCACCTCATTTGCCTACTCCTTTCATATCTTTCTCTGGGCTCCTCGACCTATCCACTCACCTCTCCCCCTACATACTCAGCCCAAACCTTGTCTCCAGCATAAATACCACTTTCTTCGAGCTATGAGTTCAGAGGACACGAAACATTAACTCTCCTTTCTCCTCAGATGCTGCCAGATCTGCTGAGTTTCACCAGCACCTTCTGTTTTTGTTTCAGATCTGCAGCATCCACACTTTTGTTTTATTTAAACAATTGTATGGATTATCTACTACTAATTTGCAATTTTTCACCTGCGAGCTTGTGAAAATTACATTTTTAAGCAAATCATGGATCAAGAGTAATCAGAAAATCATGACAGATGTTTTCAGAATATAAACAAATTTAAAAGTGTGAAACTCACATTTTAACTGCAAAACATAGTGCACAAGACTAAGCTTAATTGATCCACATTAAAACTGAACAAAAAAATTCAAATTGAGCTTGAAGTGTAAATCAAGCAAGAGCAGCATATAATGGAGCATTCTAAACTCAGGTAGATGCATTAAAACAAAGCTTTCTACATCCTTGAATATTGCTGAGTGAACTGATGGCATAAGTTACTATACCTGTACAATCTCGCCAATTTGGTTTGTCAGATTTGAACAGGAAATTCTTTAGAAGATATGCCTGCAAATATTACCACAATAAATTAAAACAGATTTGTGCAGGAGGTGAATATACAATAGACAATGCAATGCAAGGCTAACTTTCATTTAGATGACATTGAAACCTGTTTAATCTGTTCAGGGGTGGTACCCATCTCCTTTAAATCTGCTGTCAGTGTCAAAAACCCTCAATTCCACAATGCTGCAAGCTACTGTTGCATCTCAAAACTAAATTCCCTCTTCAAAAGTCTCTGAAGGTCTTCCAAATCTGTTCAGCTTTCTTGCATCTCTACACTTTACAACCTTCAATCAGAATTCCAATCCATCCCAGTACTGAAACAGTTCAGTCACAAATGACATGGTCTGATTCCTGCCTGCAACCTTTGACAGTAATTGACTGCACCATTCACTTCCAATGCCTCTTTACTTTTGTCAAGCTGCTGTGAAGTTGCTCTCAAGGTTACGTTCTCACCCATCCAATCAGAGTCATTACCTTTTGTATTTCCCAAGGATGCATCTTTGATCCTCTTCTGTTTCTCAGCTACATGCTGTCCCTCGATGACTTCAGCTGACAGTAGTGTTATTTTTCACATGCATGCTAACTCACTACCACATCTCCTGACTGGATGTCAGGCTGTTTATCTAGCATTCAGTACTAGATGAGCATAGATTTCTACCAATTAAATAAGTGACTGAAGCCACTGTTTTCAGATCCAGCTCCAAACTCAAATCCCTAACTACCTACTTTTGGCAACAGTCTAAGATTAAGCCAGTTTAACTGTAATCTTGGTGTCACAGTTATTGCTGAGCGGAGTTTCTGGTCTTGTCTTTGTGCTATCACAAAGACCAAATAATCCTCCAATTCTGTGCATCCCTACTTTTAAATGGTCCATCACTGGTGGCCATGTCTTTAAATGTTTGGGTGCCCAAGGTCTAGAATGTAACTCCTGCGTCTCTCCACCTTGGCTCTCTCCTTTAGGATGCTCCTTAGATAAACGTATCTCTTTGAACAAGCTTTTGCTCATCTCACCTAATATTCTGGCCTGGTCTCTACATTGTTTCATAATAGTCCCAAGAATCATCTTGAAACATTTTATTATGCTGTAGGCACTATACAGTTATTTAATCAATGGAATGCTAGAACAATGAAGTCAAGGTAAATAAGGCTACATTAATGATTGGCAACAATATTCCACTATTAAGATCAGTAGAAACTTAGTAGCAATGAGTGATCTATCAAAGACCAAAACTAATCTGAATCAATCACTTGAGAAAGTGAAACATTTTAAAAGTGGGGAACGAAGGAACACTGTTCCAAAAGCATCATTTAAAGCAATAAACAAATAGATGTGTCCACTCTACAGACTTTATAGAGGTTTATAAAATCATGAAGGGCATAGATAAGGTGAATAGCAAGGGTCTTTGCCCTAGGGTGGGGTAGTTCAAACTAGGGGGCTTTTTTTTTTAAAAAGGTGAAAGGAGAAAGTTTTAAAAAGGACATGAGACGCATCTTTTTCTTTCCGGAATGTGGTTCGTGTATGGAATGAACTGCCAGAGGAAGCGGTCGATGCAGGTACAGTGACAACGTTTAAAAGACATTTGGATAAGTACAGGAAAGGTTCAGAGGGATCTGGGCCAAATGCAGGCAAGTGGGACTAGTTTAGTTTGGGAACATGGTCGGAGTGGAGTAGTTGGACAGAAGGGTCTATTTCTGTACTGTATGACTATGACTCTATAACAGTTGCAAGTTAACAAGGAGGCTTTGTGGTGCAGTGGTAGTGTCCCCACCACTGGGCTAAGAATTCTGGGTTGAAGCCCAACCTCAGGACTTGTCTGACGGACATAAAAGATGGGCAACGTGGCTAAAAGTAGGTGGCAACCAGTCAGCTGGATGAGTGATCTAGGACAATAGCTGGAGCACAACAGATTCTCCATATTTGAGAACTCCACCCTCTTACAATATCCGCCATTCCTGACACACAATTCTAACGTCACCAATTCACCATCAGGTCAAATTTCCAGCAACACAGTGAAATCAATAAGCTGTATAATACCTGAACAGGTGCAATCACTGCACAAGGACCTCCTTCAAATTGTTCCAAAGCTGTAGATTCTGATTGACTTAAAACAAATCCTGCAAAGGAAAATTGAAAGGCTTAATAAAAATTGACATTTGTGACAAATTCTATGATATATCAGTTAACAACCGCAGGCTTATAGTGGGGCAGCATGGTAGCTCAATGGTTAGCACTGCTGCCTCACAAAGCCAAGGACCTCAGGTGACTGTGGGGAGTTTGCACACTCTCTCTGTGTCTGCATGGATTTCCTCCCACAGTCACAAAGATGTGCAGGTTGGATGGACTGGCCATGTTAAATTGCCCATAGTGTCTGGGAATGCGCAGGCTGGGTGGATTTGCCATGGGGTGTGGACTCCATGGGCCGAATGACCTGCTTCCACACAGTAGGGATTCTATGATTCTACAGCAGTCATATACATGGAGTTCTCTCTCCATGGATACTGCCTAACCCACTGTGATTTCCAGCATTTTTTTTTATTTTCAGTGAAAATTCCAGCATCTGCAGTAAATTGCCCGGCATATCCATGGAATGCCAGTTTAATTCTAGGCTGCTTCTCAGATTTCTGATCTCAGTCATAATAACTGTAAAGCTCAAACTGGCCGTCAGCATCACTAGGTAAGCAATTCATTAATTTGCATAAACATTTATATAAAAGTATCACAGAACATCACTCTTTGAAGGACGGTGTAAGACTGACCAAGCACATTCATAGAACATAGAATATAGAACATAGAGTAGTACAGCACAGTACAAGCCCTTTGGCCCACGATGTTTGCTGACCTATTATCCTACTCTAAGATCAACCTGCGTACCCTACATTATACTATCATTCATGTGAAATGTTAAAGGGTTAATATCTGTTCTGCTGACATGTAAGAACTTAGGTGCTTCGTGGGCAGACAAAAGGTGGTAATCTAATTATACTCTGCTCTCTGTAAATGTTGAACTAAGGCTAAAAAGATCTCTCAGACAAAAGGTGGTAATCTAATTATACTCTGCTCTCTGTAAATGTTGAATGAAGGCTAAAAGGATAAGGAATTATCTAGTCTTACATGTTGTTTTTGGGTGGCTGACCTTTGTTTTACTGTTAGATGATTAAGTTATGTACTATCACTTTTGCTAGGCACGTGACTACGGCCGGGAGGGGGGCGGTGGGGAAATTTGTATCTTGTATGCATGTCTGACTGTGCTGTAAAAACCTATATAAAGGGAGGACGGTTCCCTTACAGAGAGCATCGCTTGACATGGCTCTGCAAGCGCTGCGAACATTGTTAAGTGATCCTCCAAAGCTTGTACTTGCTTAAATAAAGTGTGGCTATTCACAGAAGTTGGCGTATTGCATTTGTATCAAGCGTGTGGGAATCTCCTAAAAGGGAACTCAACACATGCACTAAGAGTTGCTTAAATGTCCCCAAAGTATCTGACTCCACTACCACCGCTGGCAGCACATTCCACGCACCCGCCACTCTCTATGTAAAGAACCTACCTCTGTCATCTCCCCTATTCCTTCCTCCAATCACCTTAAAATTATGTCCCCTCGTAATAGTCATTTCCGCCCTGGGAAAAAGTCTCTGACTACCCACTCTACCTATGCCTCTCATCATCTTGTACACCGCTATCAAGTCACTTCTCATCCTTCTTCACTCCAATGAAAAAAGCTCTAGCTCCCTCAACCTTTCCTCATTAGACGTGCCCTCCAGTCTAGCCAGCATCCTGGTAAATCTCCTCTGCACCCTCTCTAAAGCTTCCACATCCTTCCTATAATGAGGTGACCAAAACTGAACACAATATTCCACGTATGGTCTAACCAGGGTTTTATAGAGCTGCAGCATAACCTCGCGGCTCTCAAACTCAATTCCCCTGCCAATGAAAGTCAACACACCATACGCCTTCTTTACAACCCTATCAACTTGGGTAGCAACTTTGAGGGATCTACGGACATGGACCCCAAGATCCCTCTGTTCCTCCACACTGCCAAGAATCCTGCCATTAACCCTGTATTCTGCATTCAAATTCGACCTTCCAAAATGAATCACTTCACAATTTTCTGGGTTAAATTCCATCTGCTACTTCTGTGCCCAGCTCTGCATGCTGCCCATGTCCCAATGCAACCTATAACAGCCCTCCACACTATCCATAACTCCACCAACCTTCATGTCATCGGCAAACTTACTAACCCACCCTTCCAGTTCCTCATCCAAGTAGATCACAAAGAACAGAGGTCCCAGAACAGATCCCTGCGGAACACCACTGGTCACCGAGCTCCAGGCTGAATTCTTTCCATCCACTACCACCCTCTGTCTTCTATTGGACAGCCAATTCTGTATCCAGGCAGCCAAATTTCCCTGAATCCCATGCGTCCTTACTTTCTGAATGAGCCTACCATGGGGAACATTATCAAATGCCTTGCTAAAATCCATATACACCACATCCACTGCTCTGCCTTCAATGTGTTTTGTCACATCCTCAAAGAATTCAATAAGGCTTGTGAGGCATGACCTGCCCCTCACAAAGCCATGCTGACTATTTCTTATCAAACTGTGCTTTTCCAAATAATCATAAATACTGTCTCTGAAAATCCTCTCCAATAATTTGCCCACCACAGAAGAAAGACTGACTGGTCTATAATTCCCAGGATTATCCACGTTCCCTTTCTTGAACAAGGGAATAAGATTTACCGACCTCCAATCATCTGGTACTGCTCCAGTGGACAGTGAGGACGCAAAGATCATCGCCAGAGGGGCAGTAATCTCTTCCCTCGCTTCCCGTAGCAATCTTGGGTATATCCCATCAGGCCCAGGGGACTTATGTATCCCCAAGTTTTTCAAAATTTCTAGCACATCCCCTTTCCTAACATCAATCTGTTCCAGCATATCTGCCTGTTTCATACTGTCCTCACAAACGTTAAGGTCCCTCTCACTGGTGAATACCGAAGCAAAGTATTCATTAAGGATCTCCTCCAACTCCGCGCACAACTTCCCTCCACTATCCCTGATTGGCCCTGCCCTCACTCTGGCCATCTTCTTGTTCCTCACAGAAGTATAGCATGCCCTGGGGTTTTCCTTAACCCTACCCGCCAAGACTTTTTCATACCTCCTTCTTGCTCTCCTAAGTCCATTCTTCAGTTCCTTCCTGGCTACCTTATAGCCCTCTAGAGTCCTGTCCGATCCTTGCTTCCTCAACCTTAAGTAAGGTTCTTTCTTCCTCTTGACGGATGTTCCACATGTCTTGTCATCCAAGGTTCCTTCACCTTACCATCCCTTCCTGGCCTCAATGGGACTAACCTATCCAGTACTCTTACCAAGTGATCCCTAAAACAACCTCCACATTTCTATTGTGCATTTCCCTGAGAACATCTGTTCCCAATTTATGCTTCGCAGTTCCTGCCAAATAGCATTATAATTCCCGCTCCCCCAATTAAGTACTTTCCCATACCGTCTGCTCCTATCCCTCTCCATGACTACAGTAAAGGTCAGGAAGTTGTGATCACTGTCACCAAAATGTTCTCCCACCGAGAGATCTGACACCTGGCCTGGTTCGTTGCCAAGCACCAAATCCAATATGTCCTTCTCTCTAGTTGGCCCATCTACATATGGAGTCAGAAATCCTTCCTGGACACACCCGACAAAATCTGTGCCATCCAAACTATCTGCACTTAGGAGGTTCCAGCCTATATTAGGGAAGTTGAAGTCACTCATGACATCAACCCTATTACTTCCACATCTTTCCAAAATCTGTTCAATGTCTCTGTTGCTAATGGGGGGTCTATAGAAAACTCCCAATAAAGTGATTGCTCCTTTCCTGTTTCAGACTTCCACCCTTGCTGACTCAGTAGACAAACCCTCCTCCATGACTTCCCTTTCTGCAGCTGTGATACTATCCCTGATTAGCAATGCCACTCCCCCACCTCTTTTACCTCCCTCCCTATTTCTTTTGAAACATCTATACCCTGGAACATCCAACAACCATTCCTGCCCCTGTGTTATCCAAGTCTCCCAAATGGCCACAACATCGTTGCTCCAAGCTCTGATCCATGCTCTAAGTTCATCACCCTTATTCCTGACACATCTTGCATTAAAATGGACACACTTCAACCCGTCACACTGACTGAAACTTTGCCCTATCAACTGTCTATCCTTCCTCACAGACTCTCTGCATGCTGTATCTGTCTGTACACCAGCTACCCCATCCTCTGATCTGTAGCTCAGGTTCCTACCCCCCTGCCAAACTAGTTTAATCCCTCCCAAAGAGCTCGAGCAAACCTCCCACTCAGGATGTCGGTGCCCCTCCAGTTCAGGTGCAACCCGTCCTTCTTGTACAGGTCCCACCTTCCCCAGAAGGTATCCCAATGATCCACATATCTGAGTAGTAATCTAAGGATTATTACTGGTACCACAGGCTAGTGAGGCTAGGAATAGAGAGCGAGTGCAGCTGAACACGTGGCTACAGAGCTGGCGTAGGAGGGAGGGCTTCAGATATATGGATCATTGGGATACTCCTCTGCTCGTCCTGGCTTTTAGCTTCTAACCTAACTCCCTATGTTCACTTTTCAGGTCCTCATCCCTTTTCCTAGCTATGTCATTGGTACCAATGAGTACCACAACTTCTGGTTGCTCACCCTCCCCCTTAAGAATCCTGTAGGCTTGATGCGAGACATCCCTGACCCTGGCACCCGGGAGGCAACATACTATCCAGGAGTCTTGCTCAGTACCACAGAATCTCCTGTCTGTTCCCCTAACCATTGAATCTCCTATTCTCCCACTTCCCTTCTGAGCCACAGAGCCAGGCTCAGTGCCAGAGACCTGGCTGCTATGGCTTTCCCCTGGTAGGTTCCTCCATCTCCCCCTCAACAGTATCCAAAGCGGTATACTTATTATTGAAGGGAACGGCCACAGGGGATCCCTGCACTGTCTGCCTATTCCCTTTCCCTCTCCTGACAGTCACCCAGCCACCTTTTTCCTGTAATTTGGGTGTGATAACCTCCCTATAACTCCTATCTATCACTCCCTCAGCCTCCCGAACAATCTGGAGTTCATCCAGCTCCAGGTCCCTAACATGGTCAACAACTCGAAGTATTCCCAAAATAGTCAGCTACAGTTAAGGTACAGTCACTGATGTAATTTAAAATATGCCAAGCTTAACAGCAATGTGGCAACAACCAGTTTAGTATTAGTTGATGAAAATTATGCAAACTACCCTCATCTTCATTAATAACATTGGTCATAAAACAATCTCTCATGGAGACAGCAGCTTGGTTTAATATTTCATCCAAATGATGGCATTTAGTACAGTCCTTTAGTGTTGCTCTGGATTGTACGCTCAAATTTCTGCAAAGCATGTTGAACCCAGAAGCTAATGACTCCAACGTGATGGCTGACACTCCAGTGAAGTTTAACAGTGAGAAATTAAAAGAAAAAAGAGAAATAGAAAAACAATGGGGTGGTGGAGAAAAAGGACAGCCAGGAGCGTGGAGAGAAATTAGGAAAAAAAATGAACATCAGCTTACATAATAACATAAAACAAAGAACTGCTGATGCTGGAAATATGAAACAAAAAAAAAGACAAACTGCTGCAGACCTGCTGAGTTTCTCCAGTGGTTTCTGCTTTTGGACAGCAGCTAAGATGGAGGTGATAAGGTATAACATGGACTGGGCTGGACAGGATGGAGGACATAGACTTTGAAGGTGATCCATGGGGAGGGAGAGCCATATCTGCACTCTCCAGGGGAAGGAGAGTTGCGGGAAAGCAGTGGTAAAGCCAGCTCGGCATGGGCACTGGTCCAGAACAGGGTAGACAGCAACTGGGGTGCATGGGTGCG